ACCTAAGCACAATTATTTTAAAAAACGTAAAAGTATTTATATAGAGAACTAAATCTGTGCCTACCTTAGAGAAGACGCATATTTGAGTACCATTTGTAAACAAACATGCGCTGGGAGCACGCACCCTGTGTGCTCCCAGCACATGTGTCGGTGTCCCACAGAAAGGTCTTGATCTCTCCTTGCGATCTGGACCTTTCCAATCATGTGACTGCCGTGACAATCAATCACGGTGGTCACATGACCATAAACCCCACCCTGCCTCCCGGTGTCTGAAACCCCTTAAAGGGCCAAGAGGCACCAGCATGAAGAGGTTAAAATAGTGAGGGACTGCTTAGTAACTGTGAACACTTTGGTAAGAAGTATGTAATTACAATATAGCATATAGAGTATAGGGGTCAGGGGAGCATAAAGTACATAATGCAGGGGTCAGAAGTATATCACATACAGCCCAGGTTACAGAGTGCAGTGGTCAGGTTTATGTAATGTACAGTCAAGATTACAAGAGTGCAATGACCATTAGTATATAAGATACAACAAAAAGGTATGTACTATAGAATATTACTAAAGCATACAGAGTATGGTCTGGAGCGTGTTATGTGTGCTGTACATTACATTATCCTGCTGCAATCTGTGTGCTGTACTTTGCTTTCTCCTAACCGCTATCCTGTATGCTGTCCCAATCCACAGATCACCTCTGCATTCCTGTCCACAGCTCACCTTTGTGTCCGCTGTCCACAGTTCACTTCTGTACCTTCCATCCAAAACTCATCTCAGTGTGCCGATTCACAGCTCACCTCTGTTTGCCAATCTACAGCTCACCTCTGTGTGCCAAGCCACAGCTCACTTCTGCGTGTCATGACACAGCTCACCTCTGTGCACCCTTGGCCACAGCTCTCCTCTGCATTCATGATCACAGCTCACTTCTGAGTGCCCTGCCACAGCTCACCTCTGCATGCCCTGCCACAGCTCACCTTCACTTCCCCTGTCCACAGCTGATCTCTAGACCCAGTATATACCCCCCAAACTCAACTCTGAAACTCTCCTTCACAACTCTGCCCCCCATATCTCACTCTGGCAACCTATGTCCACAGATCTCATCTTTACATCCCACTCCATCCAAAGTTCCTACTTAGCAACCTGCCCCCACCCACCCATAGTTCTCAACTCTTCACCTAGTCTCCTCCCCTTCCCCTTTTATTCAAAGCTTTCACTTCTGTACCCAGCCCCCATCTATCTATAGATCTCTGCAATCAGCAGTTTCCCTTCCCTCCTATACACACTTCTCCCTCCTGTGCCCAGCCCACTTATCCACAATGCTCACCTTTGGTCACTGCACACTCTAGTTCACTGGCCCTCCTCCCCCTTACAGGAGCTGACATGGATCTAGTAGGCAGGGGCAAGTGCAGGATTTTTTTTTCAACAACACATTCCCCGCTCTGCCTCTCTAGTTCAGTAACAATCTGTAAGAAAGCACTGCCAGTGGGTAATGTCAGCACACAGAGCAGTAGTCTTAGTATGTGGGGCAAGTGCCCTGAAATGCAGAGCTAGTAATGTCACTTAGCAAGAGTCCAAGGGGAGATCTACATTAAGGTGATCTGCGGCATGTAGAAGAGTAAGAGCACTTAACTCCATATGGTATTCAAAGTAGTCTGTGCGCAGCCCACCCCAGCACCACCTAGATCCAGCCATGGGCTTTATTGTCAATCTATCATGGCTAATTCACAAAATCATATTTTGTTCTTATGTCATCATTAAACCCCTTATAGGGCACACACCAGTCCAGTTTTCAAACAGGGTTCACATCAGTTTGGTTCCAGTCATTGGGGTTGATTTATTAAAGGCAAATAAACTGTGTACTTTGCAAGTGCTACTGCTCCAGAGATTAGTAAATGAGGTGAAGCTTCAATTTTCAAAGAAAACCAACCACCTACAAGGAATATGAAAAAGAAAACAACATTTTTACTTGGACATAATTGGATAAGGGAAATCATCAGAGCTTCTCCTCATTTACTAAGCTCTGGAGCACCTGCACTTGAAAAGGGCAGTCTACTTGCCTTTAGTAAATCAACACCATCATGTTTCCACTTCACAGTTCATCCAGTGCATTCATACTTCCACCTCTCACCAATGCACTGGAACTCACCAGATCAATATGTCTCTCTTAGTTAAGATCGGCATACTGCAATTTATATATCAGTAGCAGATCTCTATATGTCATCCGATTCATCATCTCCACACTCATGCGGTAAACGAGGTTCCCAAGATGAGAGATATAAAAGACAAAAAGCTCCAACAGTGAAAAATCCTCCAAACTCCAATTTTTGTTCAAAACCAAATGATTACTTACATTAAAAAAAAAAACATATTAGCACATGTAACCATTCCTCCATTTTTAGCATCATCTTCACTTATTCACTGTGTATGGTCTTAAGTGACAATCATCCATCATCTTGTTACTTTATCAATAATATATTATTTTATTTTCCACACATGCTTTGATTTTTTACCCATTTAATATGAATTCATTTTGCATATACTCAGATATACTACTGTTGTTCTCCACTTATCAAAAAGACCCATTTACATTAAATGTTAACATGATCATTTATAATTTAACCATCATATACTGTATTGCTTTATTTTTTGTGCATTTAGCATAAACTGTATGATATCTTATGCAATTTATTAAAAATGAACTAAGATATGCAATGCCTATTTTATTTACTTTATTTGGTTTGTTTCAATATTTATTGGAACTTTCTGTATTATTTTGACATAGTTATTTTATTATTAATACATTTAATAATGCTTTAACAAACAATATTAATAATGCACCCATTGTAGCACCTATTTCACTATAATTTATCATATTTCACATATATACTGTATATACAGCATAAGCAACTATGGAATTACTTTCACCATTAAGAATCATTTTTTTATGTGATAAATGTAGTCCCTTTTATTGCAATAAATTCAATTTTTTTTTACCTAGTGTTATAATGCTCCTTCCTTAAGAAGTGGCTTTGAAATGCCTTGACAGTGTTTTATGTTTGTTGTATGATCAATAAATGTTTAGTTTGTGAGGAATCAGTCTTCAAGTACGTCCTTTCCACATGGAAGCCTCTGCTGAAATATATTTCCTACTTTTGGGCCTAACACTTTTCATTGATTGTTAGATACTATTATTCACTTAAATTAGAAAATTCTTCTACTGTACATACTGTATATAAAAGACTATTAAAATATAATTAAAGTCTCAACTCTAAAAGCCTTTTTATATACATATAATTGCAGTCCATACCACCATGCTGAAATGGAGTGTAAAGGCATTGCACTGCATTTTGCAGCACAACACAATCAACTACATCACACTGCACTACTGTCAATAGAAATAAATAAAATGTCACTTTGTGAAATTTCATAAAGTTCTAACAAAAAACAGTGCAGCACACTATCTACAGTCAACAGCACTGTTGCCTTCACATTGCACACCAGTGGTTGTGCAGTTGTGCGCACTGCTAGTGTACACAAGCACTGAAGGAGTCACAAACTGATAAAAAAATATATTGTGCAGGAAGGGAAAGTAACAGCCGCTGAAGCCCTTTATATTAGAGAACCTTCTTCTGGTAACCACAGTGACTGGCAAAGCTGTCTCTGAAAAGATTGCATGCTTCTTGATGAACAAACGTATAAAAGTTATATCAACAAAGGTGGATTTTTGAATTTGGAGATAAAAATTACCATCTGTTAGTCTTTTTGGCAAGGCCAGATTATATACCTGTCTCTATATTAAAAATTTGGAGTTTGCATGGTGATAACAAATGGATATTTTTAAAACCTTTCTGCAATTTTATCAAGATTTATAAAAGTCTCACCTAGTTGCTACTAAAGGGAAACAAAGCTCTTTTGGCTGTACTTCTCCTGTGGAGCACAGGAGTGCAGTTTGTTCTGCACTCCTGTGACCCGTTTTCAGCTGATGTCATTCAGCTGGTCCAGGCTGGGGAAAATTCGGGATCCACCCTAAAGTCTGGAGTGGCACCTGACTCAGCCTCTCAGCGAGCTGCTGAGAGCCTGAGCCAGCCTCTCCCTCACCCTCCACAGTCCAGCACTCCAATGAGCACTGGGGGGGCATAGTAGACAGCGGTGACTGACAGTCACCGCTCTCTGTTCAGAGAGGCTGTGAGAACTCAACGATCAGCGGTCATATGACCGTGAGTCCTCGCACATAGAGCTGGCGGGGGAGAGATGCAACATCGGACCAATGCTGCATCCACCTAGGTAAGTATAAATGGGGGGAAAAAAGTCCTACTTTTCTTTTAACATTGGCTGAGAGGGAATTTCTGGAGCAGAACATTACTGAGGAGGAGATTGGGGCAGCTGTAACCTAGTTTTCTCCTCCTACTGTAAGTCTCCAAGTTTGTATGAATTCCCCGCAGATGGTATCAGATGTAAGGGGAAACACTTATCCCGCACTTACTTTAAATATTTATATCAGCGCAAACTGAAGTTTTCCTCCATCTATGAGAGAAGCACTTATTGTCCTGCTCCCTAAAGGTGGGAAATATTTGCTGTAATGTTATTTCTATCACCCAATTTAACTCATTAACCACCTCCCGCTCGCCATATAGTCCAATAAAGGGCGCAAGGTGGTTCTCTCGTTCTGGGAGGACGTCATATGACGTCCTCCCATTTCTCACCGCGCATGTGCGGCTTAGGGAGCGTGCAGCATGGCGAACGGCCGTGTGCTGTGTTCCTTGGACACAGCGGATCACCGGTCAAGGAAGATTTTGGCTCGGTCATGTGATCAGCTGTGTCCAATCACAGCTGATCACATGTAAACAGGGAAATGCCAGTTATTGGCATTTCTCTCCTCACAAGCTGTCACGCTGACAGAGGAAAGGAGAGCCGGTAATCGGCATTCTGCGGAGGGGACATGTACATAGATCATCAGGGCACTGATGATCAGTGTGCCCTGATGATCTGAGTAGCCCCAGCAGTGATACCTGTCAGTGTCCATCAGTGTCAGCTGTCAGTGCTCATCCATGCCACCTGCCAGTGCCCATCAGTGCCACATCAATGCCACATCAATGCCACATATCAGTGCCTACCAGTGCACATCAATGCCACATATCGGTGCCCATCTGAGCTGCCTTTCAATGTCACCCATCAGTGCCAGTCAGTGCCACCTATCAATGCCAATCAGTGCCACCTAACAGTGCCACCAATCATTGCCACCTATCAGTGCCAGTCAGTGCCACCTATCAGTGCCAGTCAGTGCCGCATATCAGTGCCATATATCAGTGCTGCCTTTCAGTGCCCATCAGTAATGCCTGTCAATGCCCATCAGTGCCACCTACCAGTGCCTCCTTATCAGTGCCAATCAGTGCCACCTATCAGTGTACATCACTGCAGCCTATCAGTGCCCATCACTGCAGCCTCATTAGCGCACATCAGTGAAGGAAAAAATCACTTATTTACAAAATTTTATAACAAAAACTAAGAAAAAACTTTTTTTTTTCAAAATTTTCAGTGGTTTTGGTTTGTTTAAGAAAAAATAAAAAAACCCAGAGGTGATTAAATACCATCAAAATAAAGCTCTATCTGTCTAAAAAAAAATTATAAAAATTTCATATGGGTACAGTGTAGCATGACCACACAATTGTCATTCAAAGTGTGACAGAGCTGAGAGCTGGAAATTGGCCTGGGCAGGAAGGGGATATAAGTGCCCTGTAGGCTAGTGGTTAATAATGTTACAACATTTTAGTTAGAATTCTGAAATCATTAATTATCACCATTATAGGCTCTGATCAAACTGGATTTTTACTGTTAATTTGCTCATGCAACACAATAACTCTGGAGCAAGGGTGGTGGCCTAATTAGAAACAAAAATATGTGATTCTGGGGGGTGGCTTGGTTCATTTTTTGTATCCTGGGTTGAATTTCTGTATAAGGATCTTACTGCCAGACTCAAGGTTAATGGAGTTATCTGTGATTCCTTTTAGATTTTTAGGGGAACCATGAACAATTTGGAAGTGATTACTCCTTCTAACACCAAATTAGAATCACTAATCCAGAACCTGGATCATATTAAGTGGATCTTAACGCTGCTTTAATTTTACCCAACAAGAGAGTGAGCCAATATGCTAGGGATAAATGAACGTCTCATCTGCATGAGTTATTGGAAGAGGCCTCCATGCAGGTGTTGAACACATACAGTATTTGGATCCATATATATATATATATATATATATATATATATATATACTTTAATAATTAAATGATTCAGTTAAGATTTTTACATCAAGCCTACTATACCCCAGTGACATCGTTTCATGTGAAAAAGAAAGATTAGTTCTGCTATAAAGTAAAACTCTAGCATAAACCTTTTATTGTGTTTTTGATCAAGTTTAAGAAGGTTTAGTGCTTCTATCAGGTTTTCATCGCCTTAGGGGTATGTTCACTCAATAACTGTAAGGGCAGAATGTAATGGAAAATCTCTCCAACAGGAACACATCAAAAATGTATTTTTTTTATACTATGAGGAGGAGTTAGGACCTAAACAAAACACATTTTAAACTGTAAGAAGTGTTAGAACTTGTATTACTGTCTGTGCCCATCTGTCCTGTAACAACAATGCTACATTCCTCCAGGCATCACAAGGACAAGTAGTGAGGAAATACCTCCCCAATGGGGTTTTCAACTTTACAGAATTTCTTTCCAAAACCTAAAAAAAAGAGTTAGTCCTTAAAGCCGAGGTTTAATCTCACTCTCCTTCTCTCCTCAATGGCATGCCAATACATTTTTTAAATACATTTTTTTTGTAATTTCATTACACACCTTATTTCAGTTTCAATGACATCATCAGTGGGCTAATATGCTTCTCTATGCTATATAGACAGATTATTGCTGCTGGTGGTGGTATGTGGGGGAGGGGGGGGGGAATGGGAGGGTGCTACACATAGCTTTCTGAAACCATTACTGCCTCAGTACTCCTCTTGAGAGCCCTAGGCCTTGATGCAAGCAAGGTGCTTGGTCTTTTGGGGGTAAATATAAAAATGTCTTGATGGGGATGAGTGAGTGTCAGTCTGAAGGAGTGACCAATAATAGGCAGACTGCACTAACATACAGACTGCCCTAGGTAACACCAATGTGTGATGCTAAGCATCTATGATTGAAATGGCTGAAATCCAGTGAATAAAAGTGGCAGACCAGGAACAATCAGATCAGAAAGGAATAGGCCAAATGTTGCTGGATGACTGATCTTACTGTACTTTCTAATGTACACCATGAGAAGCAATATCAGTAAAGGCGTAAAACTTGTACATCTATGCAGGGCTAAAGTTCTACTTTAGCTTTAAAGTATCTGTTCTGTTGCATTATACAAAACATATGTTATTATTTAATAAATGTGAAGGTAATGTTAATAATTTGCTATTTACTGTATGTAAAATATATATTTTTATGTATATTTTTAATTATTATCTATGTAAAATGAGAACTCTTGCATGATCGAAATTGGTAAATGAAATATAATTTCTAGATGGTTTATCCAGTTTTCTCATCAGTCACTTTACAAGAGTACTTAGTCCACATTCTGACATTTAGATAACACTATAGGACTATAGAGTAAGTCTACTAATCTTATTTTAAAATCATACAATGAAAATAAGCTAATAATATAATAAAAGTAGAGATCATTACTTTAATGAAAATTTCTAATAATTCCACATATATATTAACTAAACCTGAGGCTGTACCATACTTTCTCTTTGAAGTGAATGGAATTGGGGATTGCTGGGTCTATGCACAATTTGCACCCTTATACTGTAAGTTCTCAACTGAAACTGTTTTTAAAGACATGAACGTATTCCATTTTTAAATTACAACTCATAGGGCTTTAAATGCAATCCTTACACAGTAAATTCTGTTAAAATATATACTGAATGTAATTGTGCACCAAATGTGCAATCTACCTTAGAAGAAACAGCAAGAAAAATAAAATTATAAAGCTAATTTTTATTTTCTTCCCAGTCATTTAAGGACATATGGTATGGGGAGTTACAGTCCATCTGCAGTACACAATTACATAATGCTCACAAAAGACAGAATGGCTTACTGCATTTTTAAGTACAATGCTATTGTATACAGTATATTGACTTTAATCACAGTGCTTCAATATTCAGAGAAATTTAAATAAATATATGTATATTATATTTTTTCTTTGCTTGAACACCTCCACTTTGCTTCATTTGAGATTATGGATGTGTTTGATATTGAACCACTGTTTTTATTGCATTGAATGTTTTTATTTTAAAAGAAGTGTGTCCTGGATTTTTTTTTATTATTGGATATACAGTATATATATATAATATATATATACACACACAGTATATATGTATATATATATATATATATATATATATATATACACACACACTATATTCCAAAAGTATTGGGACACCCCTCCAAATCATTGGATTCAGATGTTCCAATCACCTCCATGGCCACAGGTGTATGAAATCAAACACCTAGGCATGCAGACTGCTTCTGCAAACTTTTGTGAAAGAATGGGTCACTCTCAGGAGCTCAGTGAATTCAAGTGTGGTACCATGATAGGTGGCCACCTGTACAATAAGGCCATTTGTGAAATGTCCTTGCTAATAATTATATTCAACGGTCAACTATTAGTGGTATTATAACAAAGTGAAAGCAACTGGGAACAGCAGAAACTCAGCCACGAAGCGGTAGGCCATGTAAGATGACAGAGCGGGGTCAGCGCATGCTGAAGCGCACAGTGCGAAGAAGTCACCAACTGTCTGCAGAGTCGATGTCAATAGCTAAAGACCTCCAACTTTGTGTGGCCTTCAGATTAGCACAATAAAAGTGCGTAGAGAGCTTTATGGAAGCAGCTGCATCCAAGCCTTACATCACCAAGTTCAATGCAAAGTGTCGGATGCAGTGGCGTAAAGCACGCCGCCACTGGACTCTAGATCAGTAGAGATGTGTTCTCTGGAGTGATGAATCACGCTTCTCTGTCTGACAATCTGATAGCCATGTCTGGGGTTGGCAGTTGTCAGGAGAACAGTACTTGCCTGACTGCATTGTGCCAAGTGTAAAGTTTGTTGGGAGGGATTATAGTGTGGGGTTGTTTTTCAGGGGTTACGCTTGGCCCCTTAGTTCCAATGAAGAGAACTCTTAAGGCATCAGCATACCAAGACATTTTGGACAATTTCATGCTCTCAACTTTGTGCGAACAGTTTGGGGACGGCCCCTGCCTGTGCCAACATGACTGTGAACCAGTGCACAAAGCAAGGTCCATAAAGGCATGAGTGAGTGAGTTTGGGGTGGAGGAAACATGACTAGCTTGCACAGAGTCCTGACCTCAACCCAATAGAATACCTTTGGGATGAATTAGAGAGTAGACTGCGAGCCAGGCCTTCTCATCCAACATCAGTGCCGGGCCTCACAAAAAATTCCTATAGACATACTCCTAAACCTTGTGGATAGCCTTCCCAGAAGAGTTGAAGCTGGTATAGCTGCAAAGGGTGGGCCAACTTAATATTGAACCCTACGGACTAAGACTGGGATGCCATTAAAGTTCATGTGCGTGTAAAGGCAGGAGCCCCAATACTTTTGGCAATATAGTTGTAAGGGACCGCCCGGCGTTTTCCACTAGCACTCCACTGAATAGGCGTCCCCAGCGCACGGAGTCTAAGTCCCAGGGTGCTTGTTCACCAGGGCCCCTGATGGTGGGGATGGACTTGGAGCCCCCAAGACCAGGTCGTGGCTACTGAGTGCGTCCATCAGTGGTAGTGGTATGCGCCAAGGGCTCCCACGGGAAAGAGTCTGATATGAGGAGGTCAGAAGACCCCACTGCGAGAAATGGGCGGATGGATGGATGGATGAGCAAGGTCAGACGGGCCGGGTCGGTAACAGAGAGGACGGTAAGGTACAAGGCAGCGGGCAGAGAATGGTCGGGTCACACGCCAGGTCAGCAACAGCAGGTCAAATCTAATAGGGGGCATCCAGGAGAGAGGTCAGGAAAAGCAAGGGTCAGGATAGGAGAAAACAGCAAGGTCAGGTACAATAATAACTTACAGGGTACAGGTTTGCAGAATCACAGGATGCAGGAAAGACCAGAAGGCACTGAATGACAGCTCAGGGCCATTTAAATATCCCGCCCTGCGCTGCCATTGGTGCCAAGCGGGCGGCCACGGCTTCTACTGCGCATGCGCGAACTCGAACGCCGCGGCCGGCCCGGACCTAGTGCCCGTGTCCCTGCACAGGGCGGTGCACTGCGCCTGCGCCGGGACCATCGCGGCGGGGATCAAG